CTAGATGTAACGGATGGGCCTAGATGTAACGGATGGGCCTAGATGTAACGGATGGGCCTAGATGTAACGGATGGGCCTAGATGTAACGGATGGGCCTAGATGTAACGGATGGGCCTAGATGTAACGGATGGGTCTAGATGTAACGGATGGGCCTAGATGTAACGGATGGGCCTAGATGTAACGGATGGGTCTAGATGTAACGGATGGGCCTAGATATAACGGATGGATCTAGATGTAACGGATGGGTCTAGATGTAACGGATGGGTCTAGATGTAACGGATGGGTCTAGATGTAACGGATGGGCCTAAATGTAACGGATGGGCGTAGATGTAACGATTGGGCGTAATGTAACGGGCGGACCAGGACAACACCGATACATACACACACACACACTCACAATCGTGTTAGAGCCCTAATTTTGTTATTTCTATACAAGTCATTACAACCCACCTCTTTTTTCTCATGAGACACACACACACACATATACAGACACACACAAACATATGCAGACACATACAAACGTATACAGACACGCTCAAACATACAGACACGCTCAAACATACAGACACGCTCAAACATACAGACACGCTCAAACATACAGACACGCTCAAACATACAGACACGCTCAAACATACAGACACGCTCAAACATACAGACACGCTCAAATATACAGACACGCTCAAACATACAGACACGCTCAAACATACAGACACGCTCAAACATACAGACACGCTCAAATATACAGACACGCTCAAACATACAGACACGCTCAAACATACAGACACGCTCAAACATACAGACGCGCTCAAACATACAGACGCGCTCAAACATACAGACACGCTCAAACATACAGACACGCTCAAACATACAGACACATTTTTGGTTGTTGTTGTTTTGAACGGATGAGGCAAATAGGTAACGTATGGATGGGGCCAATAGGTAATGTATGGATGGGTCCAATAGGTAATGTATGGATGGGTCCAATAGGTAATGTATGGATGGGTCCAATAGGTAATGTATGGATGGGGCCAATAGGTAATGTATGGATGGGTCCAATAGGTAATGTATGGATGGGACCAATAGGTAATGTATGGATGGGGCCAATAGGTAATATTTTGGGAACTTGTTGACATTTCAATGGGAGAGGAGGGTATTAAAGATAATGACTGAGAAATGCAACAACCACCGAGCTTCAACGGTGGAAAATGCCGCCGCGCCTGCTTCTTGAGAAACCTACGAGTTGGTCACTAACTGAAGTGCGGATGAGATGCTACACCGTCAGCTGTATGATTTACGGGGCGTTGTGGGGGGGGGGGGGATTCCATTACACTAAATTAGAAGTTTTGCTTACTCTTGAGTAGTTTTATATAGTAGCCGTATGCAGTAATCATGTATGATTTACGGGGCGTTGTGGGGGGGGGGATTCCATTACACTAAATTAGAAGATTTGCTTACTCTTGAGTAGTTTTATATAGTAGCCGTATGCAGTAATCATGTGTAGTATAGTCTTATGTAGTAGTCGTATGTCGTAGTTATAAGTATTGGTCTTATGTATTCGTATTATGTATGTAGTCATACGTAGTAATCATGTGTAGTAGTCATATGTAGTAGTCGTATGTAGTAGTCATATGTAGTAGTTGTATGTAGTAGTCATATGTAATAATCATATGAAGTAGTCATATGTAGTAGTCATATGTAGTAGTCATATGTAGCTAGTAAGTGCCCGAACTGATTCCTGTTTATGTTGAAGTATGGTTAATCCAACCCTAATCATTTAATTATTTTATTAACTTAATTAACTTAAAAATAGTAAGATCCCCATCGTCTACTCTCTGAAGGCGCTAAATGACGCCCTGTTACCAGTGGCGTAGTTGAGTTTGTGGCACCATGGGCTAAACTATATCTCTGACGCCCCCGACGCCCCCCTAAAACACGTTCTCTTGGATTTTTTTTGCTACAACAGTAACTCTGTTTGGCGCCCTTATCGGTCGGCACCCACGATAACACCACCCCAGCCCCCCTCCCGAGGCCATACCTCGTGAACCACTGTGTGCTGCACAGTTATACACTATTTGAGAACCCTTGAGATAAAAAAACAAAAAAAACGATGTATCAAAATAGAAAGTACAAATGTTGTGACCTTACCTCAACCCTCACCCCCCCCCCCACACACACACTTTTCCCCACCATTTATTTGTAAAGATAAGATAAAACATATACCAAAAAAAAACAAAAAAAAACTGCAGTCACACAGTAACGTTATAGTTACATGAGGTCAGAGGAAAATAAACAGTGTGCCAGGGGCGTAAATAGCCCATTAGACAAAGGAGGAATCGGGGGTGGTGGGGCAAAGTCGCAGATCAACTTTTTTGGAAAGTTAAACACATAAAAATGTATAAAGGTATGTGGGGGTGGGGTGGGGCAAAGTCGCAGATCAACTTCTTTGGAAAGTTGAACACATAAAGATGTATAAAGGTATGTGGGGGTGGTGGGGTGGGGCAAAGTCGCAGATCAACTTCTTTGGAAAGTTAAACACATAAAGATGTATAAAGGTATGTGGGGGTGGTGGGGAGGGGCAAAGTCGCAGATCAACTTCTTTGGAAAGTTAAACACATAAAGATGTATAAAGGTATGTGGGGGCGGGGTGGGGCAAAGTCGCAGATCAACTTCTTTGGAAAGTTAAACACATAATAAAGGTATGTGGGGGTGGTGGGGTGGGGCAAAGTCGCAGATCAACTTCTTTGGAAAGTTAAACACATAAAGATGTATAAAGGTATGTGGGGGTGGTGGGGTGGGGCAAAGTCGCAGATCAACTTCTTTGGAAAGTTAAACACATAAAGATGTATAAAGGTATGTGGGGGTGGGGTGGGGCAAAGTCGCAGATCAACTTCTTTGGAAAGTTAAACACATAAAGATGTATAAAGGTATGTGGGGGTTCGGTTCAGAGGCCAAGAACATTTGCCACCGCTCAAACTCTATAGGCTGGAGGCTATTTCCGTTTATTTTTTTACTTTAAATACTTCATCTGTTGCTTTGCAGAAACAAATTCAGTTTTTTTTCTTGGTTGGGTTAAAACAGTGGTTCTTAACCTTTTTGGAGGTACCGAACCCCACTAGTTTCACATGCGCATTCACCGAACCCTTCTTTATAGAAAAAATAAAATATGATTTTTTTTTCCTGATTTTTTTGGACCTCCACCGAGCCCCTGAAACTGGCTCACCGAACCACCGGAGTTCCATCAAACCCTGGTTAAGAACCACTGGGTTAAAAGGAGTGCTGTAATTCAGATGCTGACGATTTTAAGATTAAATATAAGCAACTGCACTACAAAAAGGCCTGAATGCCACAGTGCATAACGAGAGTTGTTAAATCGTTGTTGAGTAAATCCCTTGCAATCACTTCATCAATTCATACAACGTTTATATTATTGTTCATTCTCCTAGAAATAATCAGCCACTGAAGTTAAACGGGAAATAGAATTAAAAAAAAAAAATCCAACCATTGTTTCAATTTTCTTGTTGTGGGTGAAGTACGGTAGTCACATACGGTGAATTCCTGTAGTCACACACGGTGAAATACGGTAGTCACTCACGGTGAAGTACGGTAGTCACACACGGTGAAGTACAGAAGTCACACACGGTGAAGTACGGTAGTCAGACACGGTGAAGTACGGCAGTCACACACGTGAAGTACGGTAGTTCCACTCACATATACTACAGCCGTTGCTTAAAATAACTTTGCTGGTAACAACAATGAGACTCTCATTAGCAGTAAGTAAGCGATGCGTCTCCTCATAAGACTAACTTCTTAAAATAGTTTACAGCAGCACTCCAGGAAATATGAATCGTACATCAAATGGTCATTGTTTTCTTTCACTCTCACTACCTTCCGGTACTAATGTAGTGTTTTCACTCTCACTACCTTCCGGTACTAATGTAGTGTTTTCCCTCTCACTACCTTCCGGTACTAATGTAGTGTTTTCACTCTCACTACCTTCCGGTACTAATGTAGTGTTTTCACTCTCACTACCTTCCGGTACTAATGTAGTGTTTTCCCTCTCACTACCTTCCGGTACTAATGTAGTGTTTTCACTCTCACTACCTTCCGGTACTAATGTAGTGTTTTCACTCTCACTACCTTCCGGTACTAATGTAGTGTTTTCACTCTCACTACCTTCCGGTACTAATGTAGTGTTTTTCAAAATCTAATTAAATGCGAGGTGGTGAAAACCCTGGGCGTAGATCTGCTGTTGAGAGATGAAACGTTCGATGTCAAGTTTAGCATATTTTGTTCAGACCTTACAGGATGACAAATGGATCATCAACTTTCCTTTACATTCTAATTTGCACCTAATCTTCTACAGAACACAAATCCCCATTGCAGCATGACTTCTTGCAACGAACCCACATGGAAGTACTGAAAGTCCACACCTCTGCTTCATGTTTAATTATTCCCTAGGCAGTGTCTCTTTGAATGAAATTTAAAAAAAAAAAAACACAACTATATGAAGAGTGTGCGAGGCGTAGTAGATAAGACTTCTACTTCCTGAAGCAAATCATCTGTCAACTTTGGACTTTGGCCGACGGTCCCACCGAGTCTCGCCATGTTGTGTTTGCACTGAACCTTGACAGGCAAGAGACCGCAGTCCGGGGACCAAGTGCGATAACATCAAGGTGAAGGACGTTACCGATCACATAAATACGGTGGCTGTTTGTCGTCAAGGTGCTAACTAACTGTTCGGTTGTCAAGAGACAAAAGGGATACTAAACAGAAAACCCAAACGTCTCACACAAAGCTGTAGCTGATCTCCTAAAAGCTGATTTCTTCCAAGTAACAAAGTTATCGACATGTCTGACAGTAACTCAAATAACAACCCTATTCCAGGTAAGTCGGTTTGGGATTGGTGATTGGTGATTGGTAGGCCTAAAATTAATTTGTTTGAATGGATTCGGGCGATTATACGTCACATAAGTAGGACAATGTTTTTAGTTTAGCTTTCCCAGTCCACTGGATTCCCCCCCCCCCCCCCGAGTTTATTTAGACTTTAAGGGATCAGCGAAGTTTCATTTTTTAATGATTATATATGTGTCTGCGTTGACCAGTTAGAACTTCTTGGGGCTACTTTCCCCAAATCTTTGGTAGACATCGTTAACTAAGTATACATGGAAAATGATGCAGTGTACTATAAAATGTTATTAAATGTAGTACAAAATGAATTTCATTTTGATCAACCATAGCTAAAACTATTTAAGCATATTATATTTTCATATTGTCTATTTAAAAAAAAAAAGTGTTTGACTTCGAGATTTACAAGAAAGACAATCACATTTTCAAGGGAAATAACTTGAACGTTTTAGATTAGCTCGTTCTGAAACATAACAGAAGAAAAAAGAAATGCCCTATTATTACAAAATTCCACATTTTAATAAATGTAATTTATTTCAGCAGCTACATTATTTTGTTATTAAACTTTTTTTGTAAAAGCGAAAATTTCTTCAACAAAATGTTTACATTGACAAATCTTAATGGAAACAAACAGTTGAATTCGGTACATGCTACACCATGGCAGTACAAAAATAAAGAACTCCACAAAAAAAAAATTAAATTTGTTGTTGTTGAATAAATGGTTAGAGTTATCGTTCATAAAATATAGCTAAAATGTTCTCTAAAGGGAACGATGCCAACGTTAATTAATTCTTCTCTTTTATCATCGTCCTTGTAGAAATCCAAACATTCTCATGAAATAAGAAATGATGGCGTAACAGTAAAAACATGACGCTCACCTGCAGTCTTCTACTATTTCTCCAACTAAACTAGCATTGACATAAAATAATGCACAATTTAGTCGGTTATGTTAGAGACATTTTTACAATTTTATACTCTACTTTTTACAGGCGAAGCTACGTCTTATCCTAAATCCCAACCAACATTTGCTACAATGGCTCTCAACCTGGTGAAAAAATCTGCTCTTTTGGTTGTGAGGTATGGTCTCACTTTTTGTTGGCTTTAGAATTTTAAAGAGCGTGGTGGGTCTGTTAAATCTTTTTTAGAACCTGTTGTGGCCTGTGAGCTGATTCAAAGAAAGAAAGATTATTTATTGTTTAAAGTGTAGCATACGTTTTGTGTCATCTTTTTGTCTATCATCAATTTTAAAATTAACGGTAGCTTAATTAAAACAATCTGCTACCCATGTTTCCAAAATCTGCTGGCTATATCTCCAAAATCTGCTTCCTATAACTCCAAAAACTGCTACCGGCATCTCCTAATTCTGCTCCCTATATTTCCAAAATCTGCTACCGGTATCTCCAAAAACTGCTCCTTATATCTAAAAAATCTGCTCCCTATATTTCCTAAATCTGCTACCGGTATCTCCAAAATCTGCTCCTTGCATCTCCAAAACTGCTACCTATATCTTCACGGGAAATTCATGCATAAAGTAATTAAATTTACGAAAATAAAATAGTTTACTTATCCCCCCCCCTTTTTTTTCCCCCCGCAGATTCTACTTGTTAGGTGTGTTGTGGGTCTACTTCTGGCTGAAGAAGATCTTCTCGCGAGCACTGGAGCCGTTGGAGCCTGTGTTCGAACAAGTGAGGAAGGTCCCTAGGAAAGACATCAGTGCCGAGGGCATCTTCTACCAGGTTCTGAGGCTGCAGTTCCTGGTCCTGCTCTACGTCTCTCCCCTGGTCGTCGGCGCCTTCCACTATCTGGCTCAGCCGCTGGTGTGGGCCAGGGACTGGACGTTCGCCTTTGTTGATGAAGATGGCAGCACGTGGAGCAAGTATTCAACGGCCGGCTCCAAAGAAGAGTAGATTTTAAATTTTGTTGATTTAAAAAAAAAAGACATTTTTAAGTTATTTTGACCTCAATTTGGTGCTAGAATTGTGTTTTTAAGAGATCGAAAAAAATCTACTAAAAGTCTGTCACTTTTAAAACACAATTTCAGAAAAGTCATCTTAGTTTGTGCAGTTTCTTATCACTTTACATGGAACTTAGGGATATGTAAACGACTTAGTAGAAACAATCGATATCAAATAAATATTTTGCCAGCCCGAGGCATCCTGAAAATGTTTTGCTATTTCGGAGTCGGAGCATTTCATAACAAGATGTTGCTAATTTTTTTTTTTTACACGGTGTAGTAGGTGGGGTTAGGTATTAAAAAATTGATTTTAGAATGCTCAAGACAATTGCACCTATTGAGAGTGGTAAATAAAACGAAATCTTTCTTTGCGTTATCAATAGGTCTGTCCATTACAAAATGTAAATACAAGACTATGATTCAATTTTAATTTATACATTTAATTTTGACTACTTTGTACTGTGTACAAAATTATACGAAAAGTATGAATAAGATGGTATGAACGACTATTTATGTGATCAGTTTGGGTGTGATGTACGTTAATTCGGTTTTTTAAATGAATTTCATTCTCATTTATTTTGAATGTTTATCGAGACACTGAGGTACCAATTATCTGTGAAACTTGTTTTTTTTTTTTAAATGCTGACTAAAAAGTTGATTCTATATTTAAAAATATAAACCAACTGTACTTTAAAAAAAAATAATATTTGAACTCTTTAAGGCCACTGATACTTTCATTTTCGTCGCTCAGAGGAATTGGATAGAGAGTTCTAGTATTCTGACAAATAATCTGATCAGGATCGATGACGTGAAATCAAGTCAACGTTATTGTTTTGCTGCAACAAGATTTGTTTCTATTTTGGCGTGGATGAGAAAGAAGGCTCCTAAAAAAGCTGTTTTGAAACCAATGAATGGATCATTATTTATAAATATTTTATATCTAATGTATTTTTTAACATGTTATGGCAATTTTGTCATTAAAATATCAAATTCTTTTTGCGTCTTACTTTTTAAAGGTCATGTAACCTAATAGTGGATTGATTGTGTAACTAAAAGTGGATCGGTTGTGTTTTAAAGATATTTATTTTTCATTTTTTTATTTCAACTTATTAGATTCAACTATTCCAGAAACAGAGTTCAGGGAAACCAGTTTAATTGGAAAACAAATTTGTCTTTAATTTAAGTGAAAACCCTTTCCAAAAAAAATATATATATACTTTTTAAAAAAAATAAACTAAATAATTAATATAATAGTTTGGAAAAAAACCAAGAAAAACTCAGTACAATATGAAACAAAACAAAAAAGAATGAATTAATTTCTACAAAATTCATTTATTTGACAAAGTTGATTCTATCAACAATGTTGGAACTAACTAATGCTACTTCTCATACGGTACAACATTGGCGCTAACTAATGCCACTTCTCATACGGTACAACATTGACACTAACTAATGCCACTTCTCATACGGTACAACATTGGCACTAACTAATGCCACGTCTCATACGGTACAACATTGGCACTAACTAATGCCACTTCTCATACGGTTCAACATTGGCACTAACTAATGCCACTTCTCATACGGTACAACATTGGCACTAACTAATGCCACTTCTCATACGGTACAACATTGGCACTAACTGATGCCACTTCTCATACGGTACAACAATCGTCAAACCTCTACATTCCAATAATGATGATGGCACACGTAATTTAATGATTTAAATGCTGTTTGTATAACTTTTGGCTCAAAAGTTTGAAACGGACATTTCTAAAACGAGTTGTTTCATGGTGTTGCTGAAATGGGATGAAGTGAGAACTCTGAGATCAACAATTAACGTTTAATCCACTCTTCAAAAATTAAAGCAATTATCGATTTACTTCTTATCCACCTTTCTTCTTAATCCACACACAATTTACTTTCGTCTAGTGGCGAATACAACACAAAACAACACAAAATAAATAAATACAAAATTGACAGGGGCCTGATGCATAAAAAAAATGACAGGATGGCACAACTGGGTTGTTAAGGGACAAAAATAACGGAGGCATAAACGAACTTAATGGGAACCCACCTAAAAAAACACGGCGATTCCGCCCATCTCTCGACCCGCCACTAACTCAATCACAACACAACGCAGCATTTCGTGAAACATAATCTCAAATCAAGTCTTGTCTACACTCTGCAGCGTGATCCATTCAAAGCCAGCACACCTACAACTCTTCCTTCTTCTTCAAGTGGAACTTTCTCCCCTTCTTCCTCGGCGCTTCGGTCGTGGTGGCGGCCTCCTCGGCAGCTTTGTCGAATTCTGGCGCGCTCTTGGCACACCGGAAGCCGATGTTGGCTGAGGTGTAGTCTTGCTTCTGGCCCATCCTGGCGGGAATCCAAGTGATCGAGATATCATTTTTGCTTTGTTATGTTATTAATGCGATGCCTTTAGTTTATTTTAGAAAGTATAAATAAACGTAATGTTTTAGCTTTAAAAACTGAATGAAAATTTAAAAGGTGTTTTCTTTCTTTAAAAAAACGTTCTAAATTTGTTTTTTAAATTTAATTTATTTCTATAAATGTTTATTTCGTTTTGAAAATAAGTATACTTTTTTTTTTTTTTTTTAAATACGAGATGTGAAAATTTTAGTGGAATAAACTAAGTATCATTAGATCTTTTAAAAATAATGGCATTTATTATACTCTTTGCTTTTCTTGATCTTATATTCCACATTCTTCACGTCCCTTGCTAATCTAGAGTTATAAGACAATATGTAAACGAAGTGGCTATTCGTTGAGTTCTGCATCTCACTCACCTTTGACCGTTTCTCACGGGTTGGTTTATCTTCCCGGTGACAGAGTCCACGTAGGATCCGCCTTTGAGCACCACCATGCTGGTCTGCAGATGGTGCTGGACCATTCTCTCCACGTAGGCCGACAGCGTCCACTCCCAGACGTTACCGATCATGTCGTAGAATCCTGGCCAGACATTGACAACGATAAAACAATGAAATAACGCATTGAACATCATAGGCGTAACTTAAACGGAGGTGGTGGGGGGCCGCTGGGGCGTCCGTTGAAATCGGTCGATCCCATGTTTACCACCGGGTTTCTTGTTGAGGCTGTTCCAGCCTGCTGGTGGCGCAGATGACTGATGAGAACGATTCTGGGACGAATAATTCTTTTGCTGTAGTTGTAATGAAGAGATGTCACATATCCAGGTCCACAGTTAACCCGCGATTTTTCTGGATTTTTTTTTTTTTTTTTTTTTTTTTTTTTTGTTTGCCCGCGTTTTTTTTTTTTTTTTTTTTGGGTTTTTTTTTTTTTTTTTTTTTTTTTTTGTGCTCTGCAAGCCGCGGTTCTATTGACTTTATGTCGTAGGAGCATTTGAATGAGGAGGCACGCCACAATTCTCGATCCCTTCATGATTCTGGTGGGGTGTATGTTAAGTGGAAATTTTAGGGAATCCAAAAAGGATTTGGTGGGAAATGAGTCAGAGCACTCTTTTGAAACAAAATCCGACTCGATTTAATCCTGATTCAATGATGAGATAGGGGTTGTGACAGGTTTCTGGAAGGGTGCGCGGTCTAAACTGTGTCATTTCTAAACCTAGACTGGCAACAACAACAATAGAAAAAATCACTAGCACCGTGGGGGAGATGGGCCCGTTATCCCAAGATGGCAACGCATCTAAGAGGAGGACAACTCTGAATTCGAACTCGGAGATTAAGTCCTGTAGACGATTTGACATTAACTCGATGCAAATTTTGACAACTTCTGCGACGCTCCTGTTCCCAAGCCGTTCATCGGATTCGTGGAGAGAAGGGATTAGCTGACCAAGAGAACCAGCTCATTCACCTAAAGCAGAAATCCCAGGCCTTGTGATTTCGTCCTGCGAAGTCTATACCATCGTCACACTGTGACGTCTACATCATCTTCAAAATGAGACATCTATACTATCGTCACATTGTGACTGACGGATGCCAATAACAACAATATCATCAAACAAACAAATATAAACAAGAAATTTATTCTGACACGCACCCTCCATCACCACATTTCAAAAAAAAAAAAAAAAGAGAAAACATATTTTTAAAAACTAAATAACAACAATAACACCAAACAAACAAATATAAACAAGAAATTTATTCTGACATGCACCCTCCATCACCACATTTCAAAAAAAAAAAAAAAGAGAAAACATATTTTTAAAAACTAGTAATAGCCCACCTAACATTGACGACAGCAATGCATGAACTTCCCGTCTACTAATGTTACTTGACAAAACATGAACTCAAGTAACGCACATTTAAGAATCCTAAATTTTGCTACACCCCCCCCCCCCCCCCCCTTGGTATGCCACTGCACACCTTTTTATTTCACTCCAATGAATTATATTTAATATTCTGATGTCCCAAACACTTTTAAACCTACTATTTTTTACATCATATTTAAATTGAGATCATTTCTTATTCCGAAAAGACAATTTTACGCGCCAAACGCAGTTGCGTTATATTTAAAAAAAACAACAACAACAACATTTAGCGTAGTTATCGGGAATTATTTTTTACGCGCTATTGAAATCAGTATTGAACAATACTTTCTTTCAAACATAGGAAATTATTTGTATTATACTCTACCAAATTCGCTAATTAGGAAGCAGTCCATTTGGAAGCAGTCCATTAGGAAGTAGTACATTAGGAAGTAGTCCATTAGGAAGCAGTCCATTAGGAATCAGTCCATTAGGAAGCAGTCCATTAGGAATCAGTCCATTAGGAAGCAGTCCATTAGGAATCAGTCGATTAGGAATCAGTCCATTAGGAATCAGTCCATTAGGAAGCAGTCCATTAGGAAGCAGTCCATTAGGAAGCAGTCCATTAGGAAGTAGTTCATTAGGAAGTAGTCCATTAGGAAGTAGTCCATTAGGAAGTAGTCCATTAGGAATCAGTCGATTAGGAAGTAGTCCATTAGGAAGTAGTCCATTAGGAAGCAGTCCATTAGGAATCAGTCCATTAGGAAGCAGTCCATTAGGAATCAGTCCATTAGGAATCAGTCCATTAGGAATCAGTCCATTAGGAAGCAGTCCATTAGGAATCAGTCCATTAGGAAGCAGTCCATTAGGAAGTAGTCCATTAGGAATCAGTCCATTAGGAAGTAGTCCATTAGGAATCAGTCGATAAGGAAGTAGTCCATTAGGAATCAGTCCATTAGGAAGCAGTCCATTAGGAAGCAGTCCATTAGGAAGTAGTCCATTAGGAATCAGTCCATTAGGAAGTAGTCCATTAGGAATCAGTCCATTAGGAATCAGTCCATTAGGATGCAGTCCATTAGGAATCAGTCCATTAGGAATCAGTCCATTAGGAATCAGTCCATTAGGAAGCAGTCCATTAGGAATCAGTCCATTAGGAAGCAGTCCATTAGGAAGCAGTCCATTAAGAATCAGTCCATTAGGAAGCAGTCCATTAAGAAGTAGTCCATTAGGAAGTATTCTATTAGGAAGCAGTCCACGAGTCATACCAGAAGCGTAATGTTTATAAGAGATACTTTTTAAAAATAAGAAATTATACAACAATAATATTTATTTTAAAAAACAACAAGTGTACTGAAACGTTTCAAATGAAGGTCCCTCAAGACGTCAGAGGTGTTACAGTCATATTATGACTCAAAACGCCTTTGTTGTCCGTATTGAAATCGTACATTTTTCAATCTAAAAAAGTAACGACTGCTTACTCGCACTACTCCTGACTGGTACACAGGGCCGTGCGAGGAGGTGGGGGGGGGGGAGGATAATGGGGCAACAGTCCCTGGATGCCACCATCACAGGGCGCCAAAGTGGCGCCTAGAAGCTAAATTTTAACTTCAGAGCTGACGCCTAAAGGTTGAACGTTTTATCGGAGAGCAGCGCAATAAGCCTTCTCTCTTAGTCATACACATACTTGAAAATAAACATGTGCCGACCCGGCTGTGTAAGTTACGTGTCCTTGCTTCCATTTCCTTTAGATCCTGGTAGGTCAAAAGTTCTCACTTACCGATGAGATTCTGGGGTCTGTAGGCGTCGACTGGTGACGTCATGGCATAGCCGTCGGCCTTCCTGTTTTCGTAGGGCCAGTCACCCTTGTAGAACAACACAAAACAAGTCTTCACTTTTAGTCAATGTATCGATATTTCTTTTTAAGTGGACACAATTATCATACATTTTTTTCTGAATAAACCTGAATCGTTTGATTAAATATATTTTTTCTAAAGTTCAAAGGTTACAATCTTACCTGCCATAAATTAGCACGTTGTCTCTCCCAGTTATCTCCCCACGGATAGGCCCTGTCTGTCGAAGGAAAATATTTTATATTTTTTATTTGATTATTTCATGAAAATTTCTATAAATCTGGATGCATATTTCTATATACAATAGTTGACAACAATATTCTTTCTTTAAAGATGTGTAGATTTATGTAAAAAAAAAATTTAAAAAAAAAATTATTCTAATGTTCTCTATCGGATTTGGTGGCGTACACCTTGTTGACCAAAGCCGCACTGCAAGATGGTTGCCAAAAGCCAGGGCCCACACTCTGCCCATATTGACCAACCAAAGTCACACCCTCCTCCACCACGGTCAAACGTGATGACCTAAGCCACGCCCACACTGTTTACTCACTCTGCACTCCGGCGCGTGCCGCGTACTCCCACTCGGGCTCGGTCGGCAACCTCTTGCCGTGGAACTCGCAGTACTGCTTGGCGTCGTACCAGCTCAGGTGGACCACAGGGTGGGCCCATCTTTCCTCCAGGTTGGAGTCGGGGCCCTCGGGCTGTACAGGGTTAAACAAGAAAATTATAATAACGGACACTGGGTGTTAAAGATGTGGGGATTGTCGAAGTCATGTGTGTTGTAGCTCAGAGATCACGTGAAGTGGGACGGACCCATAAAATACAAGGAGGTCTCCAGGCTGCCGTCACGAAGATTGACTTTCAAGTTCAAAAAAATCTTTAAACCAAAAGGGAGAAACTAAGTAAAATTTTCTTGAAATGTGTCACGCAAGTCTGTGCATAGTCCCGAAGCACTCCATGAAGCCAAGTGATTCGAACTGAATGTAGAAAACACTTAATATGCTTTATTCTTATAAATTAAAAAAATAAATATTCTGCAAATTTTAAATTATTTTTTACCGTTCAGTGCGTTTAAACTCGTCTGTTAAAATAAATATTTAAAACGCTTTTTAATGCTTATTATATATAAACAAATAAATATATATACATGTATATACATATATATACATACATAAATACATATACATATATATACTGGTGACATATATATATATATATATATATATATGTATTATTTTCTACCTTATAGAATTAAAATTTTAATAAATAATATATTATCTACAAAAAAAAAAAAAAAAAAAGAAACACAAAAAAAAAAAAAAAACAAAAAAAAAATGAACCACAAAAAAAAAAAAAATACTATTGATAATAATTTTCATTTTTAAAGCAACCACAGCTCACAAAACTCCCGGACAGAGGGATTTTAGCTACACACTGCTTCATTGAACAATCAATTTTACAACACACTCGTGTCAACAACTCAGTTGCGCCTGTGCAGGTCATTGCGAGAGTACGAGGCGGACGCGAACATCCACGAGGGGTTCACGTGGGTCAACTAAATTGATGATACAAACAAAGGATGCTACAAGCAAAGGATGCTACAAGCAAAAGATGCTACAAGCAAAGGATGCTACAAACAAAGGATGCTACAAACAAAGGATGCTACAAACAAATGATGCTAAAAACTAATGATGCTAAAAACCAATGATAATAAAAAAAAGCTCGATAGAATTGTGAGTTGAAATTAAATCTTTAAAAAAAATAACAGAGTTTGTTTTTTAACCCCCCCCCACACACACACACACTCCCCACTCCCCCAAAACAGAAATACATATCTACACAAATGTTGACAGTTTCATTACTGGTTTTAAAATATCTATCATAAAATAATAAATAAAGGTCGTGGGGCACTAACTGCTGATGATGTCGCTACAGTGTTATCTCCCAAATAAAGCACAACAACTCTTATTTGTCAAAGGTTTATGCACATTTTTAACCGTCTCCTCCCTTTTTTTCCACCCCCTCCCCCAGTTGTACAAAATATTATAGGTCACGTGGTAAGTCTCACCTTATCCCAGGTGGCCTTTTTAACAGCGGCCCACCCGCGGGGCCCAGGCATGCTGTAGTAATCCCTCGTCTCGTCGCTGAGGAACATGTCAACCACCCAACTCCAACCCTTCTTCTCCGCCTCTGATCTGACGAATTTCTTTGTCGCACGGAAGGCCCTGCAACAGAAGATGGCACAGACAGTGAGGTAGATGGCAGAGGCAGTGAGGTCGATGGCAGAGACAGTGAGGTAGATGGCAGAGACAGTGAGGTAGATGGCAGAGACAGTGAGGTAGAGGCAGAGACAGTGAGGTAGATAGCAGAGACAGTGGGGTAAATACTTTAGAACATTCCTAGACCAAACTTAAATTCTAGGACTAGTGGGAACGTCGGATGAAGAAATCGGGGGGGGGGGACTGCGGATGAAGACATTGGGAGGAGAGAGAGCGGATGAAGACATTGAAAGGAGAGACTGCGGATGTAGAATTTGGGAGGAGAGACTGCGGATGAAGACATTGGGAGGAGAGACTGCGGATGAAGACTTTGGGAGGAGGGCTGCAGATGAAGACATTCGGCGGAGAGATTATTGCGGATGAAGACATTGGGGGGAGAGAATGCGGATGAAGACATTGGGGAACATCTTGTGGGGTGGATGACAAATGAAAAAAGAGTTTGTCATAGCTTAAAGCGATAATAGCCCCGCTTTTGATGACTTGATCCAGTCCTAGAGTACATTAATTTAGCATTGTAGAACATTCCAGAATTTCATTAATGCACCCCAGAGGGAACTTTTCCAGTCCTGAAGGGCGTTAATTTAGTTTTGTAAGACATTCATCCATTCCTGGAGTTTATTAATCCAACCTAAAGGACATTGATCCAATCCTGGGGACATCAATTTAAACTTATAGGACATTAATCCATTTCAGTATGAAATTAAAATAGCCTCTGGAGGACATTGTGTACAATTAAATGGTTCTCGTGGTAGTAACAGATTTTGAGAAGGCAAAATGTATGTGGGAATTTCGGCTGACTTTCTTTCAGGATTCTCTCGGTCGTTAAACAGATCTAAGGTCATGCCTACTTACCAATAATCGGCGTTGATCACAGGGTTGGCATCGAGATAGAAACTCTTGACAGGTACCTGCTTCATTGGATACTCGCCTGTTGGTGACTCGGGATCGTTGGTCCCCATCCAGAACTTACCCGCCTTTAGGAATATCATTTCTCGATACCGGCGATACGAGTATCGAACTGTTGATCACAAACATAGCGAGTCATTGCATGATTGTGGTATCGTTTCACAAATTAAACCGTGTTTAAAATATTGAGTGATTAATAAAAAAAATATTTTAAGTGCCCGGGCCCACATGCGCGCACACACACGCACGCACGCGCGCACGCACACGCACACACACACACAAACATGCATCCAAGATAACTTGTGTTCATAAACGCCACCCTTTCATAAACGACACCCTTTCATAAACTTAACCCTTTCATACACGCCACCCTTTCATAAACTCCACCCTTTCATAAACGCCACCCTTTCATAAACGCCACCCTTTCATAAACTCCACCCTTTCATAAACTCCACCCTTTCATAAACACCACCCTTTCATAAACTCCACCTTTTCATAAACTCTACCCTTTCATAAACTCCACCCTTTCATAAACTCCACCCTTTCATAAACTCCACCCTTTCATAAACTCCACCCTTTCATAAACTCCGCCCTTTCATAAACTCCACCCTTTCATAAACTCCACCCTTTCATAAACTCCGCCCTTTCATAAACGCCACCCTTTCATAAACTCCACCCTTTCATAAACTCCGCCCTTTCATAAACGCCACCCATTCATAAACTCCACCCTTTCATAAACTCCACCCTTTCATAAACGCCACCCTTTCATAAACTCCACCCTTTCATAAACTCCGCCCTTTCATAAGCGCCACCCTTTCATAAACGCCACCCTTTCATAAACTCCACCCTTTCATAAACTCCGCCCTTTCATAAACTCCACCCTTTCATAAACTCCGCCCTTTCATAAACTCCACCCTTTCATAAACTCCACCCTTTCACAACAACCAAAAAAAAAGCGTCGTTAGATAAAACACAACTACTAATTCTTGAACGTCTCTCTGCTTGCGTGTCTGGCGGTAACGCTGCGTTCACTAGAGGAACGTCCGGAAGTTCACTCTGTTTGGCGCTATGACTTTAGTGCGTTACTTGATGGCATGTGTTTGTTTTTTTCTCTTCAAATAACTTTATTAGATATGTAGCTCACAAATTGCCGCGGCCACAGTGTGGCGAGTTCTTTCTGGTTAACAGAAAAATTTCAATTAACTTTTTTTTTAAAAGTTATTCTCCGGAAATATAAAATTGGCTCTAAAAATGCGCCAGAAGAATACGAAGAAACGCTTGAGGGCTCTTTAACTGATTTTCTTCATGAAACTTTTTGCCAGGATCTCATTATTGTTCTTTCGGCAAGTGCATGCACCGGGTACAAGACAGACACTGTTTATTAGTAAAGTGATATTTCTTTTTTACCCGAATAACTTAAATGAAGAATAGAAAGGGAAAAAAATGATCTTTTTTAAATATGAAAAGGTAATTATTATTATTGTTTAATTGTAGAAAATTGTTTCAGCCCAATATTTTTATTTCTAGTGTATATGCCAACTTGTCTGTTTCATTTAAACCATTTTTTTTAAAGCTGTTATTAACCTCTATATAATAAAACCATGAAATAAATTGAACAATTGATCTTAAGGTTCGCGACCCCCTAACTTACTTTCATCAACGATCCCAGGTTTGTGGTAGGGATGCGAGAAGTTCTGTTGGTCCGGGGTCGTCCCCTCGCCGTCAGAGAACTTTCTCGGCCCCTGCCTCCGGGCGTCCTTCTCGACAAGTTTGATCTCGTCCTTCAGCATGTGCTTCAGGTTCATGGCCTCCATGGCCTTCAACTGTTCCTCCGTCATTTCCGCCAGACAAGAAGTCAGTAAAAACAGCACCATGGCGCCTGCTTGTAGCAGGAGACGTGTGTTGGGACCGGACGCCATCTTGTTTAACGGGTTCGTAGTCGATGTCAGATGTGTTTATTTTAATTTTTTTTTTAAAATTTCAGGTCTATTACATCCGGGTCATAGGATTAAAGTCAATATCTGTATTATTAATGAATCCCGAAGTTATACATCAATTCACCCAGGGGTCAATTCCTTGTGAAAAAAAGTGAAGGAACGAACCCAAGGACCCCCTTATCCCCCACTATTGTAGACCGCATCAACTCCATAAGCATGCCCTCTGGAGAGGCCTACTAGCTGTCAGCGAGTTATCAACAGCCAAAAATGAAGTGACCTTAGTTTAAGCAGGTCCACTATTTCATAATGTTTTAACGACTGCTCGGCTCGTGCCCAGGCGCCGCCTCATCTTACCCGATAGGGTGGTCACCAACAAAAAACATGGACACTATACCGGTGATAACTAAAAAACAATTGACGTCATTAGGGTTGGTCTCACCAAGTGCGGTAAACTCATGGTGCCCTTCACCCCTCCCCCCCCCCCGAATTCATTATGGACTTCCCCTGAGTGTGCCTACTATGGTGGCACCCTGTTTCGATAGAAAAGCTAGTCTGGTACCACTATCTTCTGATACAAAACCTAGTAGGGTGCCACCCTCTCCTGGTAGAAAACTTTGTCTACTGCTACTCTGTTCAGTTAGAAAAACTAGTCTGGTACCACCCCGCTCTTAACATGAAATCATCTCGAATGAAATCTCGTGACATTTCCATTTTGTGTCATCCACTGTGAGTGTGTCACCCCAATGTGAGTGTGTCACCCCAATGTGAGTGTGTCGCCCCACTGTGGGTGTGTCCCCCCACTGTGAATCTGTCACCCCCACAGTGAGTGTGTCACCCCACTGTGAGTGTGTCACCCCACTGTGAGTGTGTCACCCCACTGTGAGTGTGTCACCCCACTGTGAGTGTGTCACCCCACTGTGAGTACGTCACCCTTCTGTGAGTGTGTCACCCCCACTGTGAGTGTTTCGACCAGCGCAGTCCGCACCCCCTAGAGACGCTATTGCCATGACAACAGCGTTATCTTTGATCAACTGTCATCACTATAAATAAAAACTAACAAGAGAGACAAATTAATTTTAAAAAATAAACATTCCATCAACTTGATGGCGTGATGATTTGATGGCGTGGCTACGCAAACCAACACTTCAAGCCCATAGTCTCGTCTTAATCCCAAGAGATGAATTTGATGACTTCTTTTTTTTTTTTTTTTTTTTTACCTACACTACAATGACAATGTCGATTCCTTGGATATTTCAGAAAATTGTCAAACTGAAACCTTGATTGCGGTGTCCTGTTTTTTTTTTTGTTTAAGATTGGCCACTTAAGATTAAAAAAACCATTTTTTTTTTTTTTTTTTTTTTTTTACCTACACTACAATGACAATGTCGATTCCTTGGATATTTCAGAAAATTGTCAAACTGAAACCTTGATTGCGGTGTCCTGTTTGTCTATTTGTTTAAGATTGGCCACTTAAGATTAAAAAAACCCAATCCAACAGGCAAACGGCAACATATATATTATGTGTTAAAACAGCTTTAGATGGACGGAAGAGTTCATGCCCCAAAAATCCAAGATGGGTAATACAATAACTTAACCAATAGCTAGAGTTGGACATCTGATGTTTAAACACAACCTGTGTCGACCTGAAGCTTTCGTTATTTTTTAAAACTTAAATATATACTTAAGCTCCATAATAAAACCAAAAGCAGCTCCATGTAAACAAAGAAACATGTATAAACAGATGAGCTGGTGAGGTTGACCTTGATTTTGGAATATGCAAAAACTGATTTTAAAAAAATCGAAATAATTAATGGCATTTCGAAGATGGTTTCTTCTCAAATTTCATGATTTAATTGTGGTTCTAAAACTACGGCAATAAATTATACGCCTACTCCAATTATCATAGGTCTAAATTAGTTAATTTAGGAATCCTGGCCATATTAGTAGCGTGATGGCCACATTTGTAGCTTCAATAGAAAGAGATCAAGCACGTAGCAGTGGTAAATGATCCTTGATTTCCACCCCAACCCCACCCCCCCCACGCTTACTCGAGGCTACATTTAATGTAAAAAAAACAACGTTCTTATTGACAAATATATTTTCCACATCAGAATCCAAAACCACAGAGTCCAGAAAATGATCCACGCACAAAGGTTGGGGTGAACATCAGAGCACTTTCAACATCCCCAAAAGACAAAAATCGAGCACCTTCACCGCCTTGTACACGCGGACAAAACACACATGGACGCATGCGACAGTGTTTCATCAGAAAGTTACCCACGAGCGGAACACACGCAAAAGAAATCGTTTCCATCAGAATTTATCGCCAGCAGTGGCAAAAGTGCCCCCCCCCCCCCAAACCACCACAGACTTTTTTTTTTTCTTTCAATCCCCATCGGCTGGTTCGATTGGTTTAAACTGCAATGGAACATATGTGTGGCCTAGTTTAATCGGATTACATTAAAATCACACACACACAATTTCAAAGGAAAAAATATGGTCTAATAGTTCACTACTGTTTGCAGGGGGGGGGCCCTCCTTGATAATGGGGCGTGACGTTCTGAAAGGGGCGTCATTGTAAGACAAGGCACCCTAACTTAAAAGAACGCATCAAGTCACTTGTGGTATAGATGTTCGAAAGTAAGCTTGACCTTATAGGAAGGAGGACAACTCATCATACTCGGAAACACATACACCCCCCACCCCAAAAAAAAAAAACCGATGGTATTATTTTAAATATATGTTCCTAACGATTTTACTTCACTCAAAAGCAAAGTCAAATTGGCCTACACATTCATTACTTATGAAATATAACAGCTGAAAACAGATCTCTCTTACTGACACGGTTTTAACAAAATCCCTGAGCCATAGCAGAACACTCTAACAACTTTGCTACATCTATACAAGTATTAATTAATAGTGACTTTTTTTTTTTATAAGTGGATGGGGGTGGGGACAGGTTGGGGAATCTTCGCACTGAATACATAAAATGGTTGATTTCTCTTTGGGGTCGTTCGCAAATTACGTCACGCTCGGGTGGGGGGGGTGTGGTCGAGAATTTGTGACACTTTGTGACAGGGGGGAGGGGTGGGGTCGAGAATTTGTGACACTTTGTGACATATTTGTTAAATCTACAATTTTCTAATTTTGAAAAAAATCTTTATTCAATTAATTTTAAAAACATTAATTTTGAGGTCGAAATTGCCTCAGGTAGGCTACTGTAGGTACCCCTCAGGTACTGTAGGTACCCCTCAGGTACTGTAGGTACCCCTCAGGTACTGTAGGTACCGTGAAACTCAGTCACGCACACCTTTTGTGCATATCGAAAAATGACGCAAAAACTGATGTGGCCATTTTCCATTCGGCTCGGGGATGACTTCGTTGTTTCGCGTCACAATTTTCTAATAATACTACATCTTAATCCTTTATGGGAAAATGTTAAAGAATAAAATAAAATCTTAGTTAAGTCGCGAAAATTGTATGTTTTATTTTTTTTATTTTTTTTTTTTAGGTGTGACGTGAATAAATTTGTAACACTTTGTGATAGGGGGGGAGAGGGGTCTATTTTAAAGAGGTCATTTTTTTTTGCGAATGACCCCTTTTCACGTGGATAATTTTAATATTATCTTCTTGAAGTATTGAAACATTTACTGAAGTTTGCCTGAGTTGTATTTTTTTTCTCTTTCGAAATTTATCTCAAAATGTTTTGTACATTAAAACTAATTGCATGATTTGTTTAATGGCATTTAATTTTTTTTGTTTAAACCCTTTAAGAAATTTTCCTAAACACCACGACGACTACCACCACCACTAGTTCCCCACTCGTGAATTAGACACACACACATACACACTGTGTGACCAATCAATACGTCGTACACAGCACTGATAGATGGGAAGTCGGTTCAATTCTTTACTTTGTAACAGATGTAGGCCCCCCCCCCCTTCCCCCGAGCCGCGCTGTGCGATACGATTGGTCAGAGCAGTGAGACACGTTTGTGTGTAAACTCTCGAAGCGTTAAAGAAACGGTAAACGAGAGTTGAGAAACGCAGACTTGACTTGCGCATGGCAGACACTGCACAAACTTTATGCCGTATACTTGTTTGATACATTATGTTTAAGTAGGTCTACATTTATTTTACCCGTTATTTATATATGGAGAAAATGCCTTTTGTTGATGAAGCCATTTATATTGAGAGTATCCTAATTTTAATCAATTATTTTTGCTCTTAGTCAACATGGTGAAGTTTAATACGGGCTTCAAAAATAAACAAGAGTCTTATCACTGCTCCTCTCAGAGTTAACCAAAAGTATAGCGAAAAATGTGAATAGTGGTTGCTGTTTTAAGAGATTTTCCAAGTTAAATAATTTTTAAAAATAAATAAACTTTTTAAAATAATAATAAAAATCAACAACAATGGAAAGAGAGTCAACGTCTTTTTTCCTTCAATAAAGTCAATTAAAAAGGTCAAACATGTAACTTTCTTACATATAAATGGCACAGTTTTAAATTAAAATGCAGCACAATTAAATTTACACACACTGTTTTCAGTATCTTATAAGGAGACAGCAGCTGCATAAAAGAAATATACTTTAATAGAAAAATAAACATCATTTTTTAGTGCTTTAATGGCGATGAGGGTTGGAAGGGGGGGGGGGGGGGGG